GAGGCTCCGGTGTTATGCCGTGTTATGCATGCCCTCCAAAAAGGAAATGATACCGTTTCCAAACCTAACTGTGCCGTACAAATCATTGAAATGTCTGTGAGTTTTGGGCTTTACGCTGTGCACGCTCCCCGCGAGGTGCAGCAGCCATGCATACACGGCGCATGTGAACTTGCCCCCTCCCCGTTGACAGTTCACGTGCATGATTCCCCCCCCCCCCCCCCCCCCCCCCCCCCCCCCCAGAGTTGTGTAAAGGCCGACGGGTAATTCTGGATTTTGACGGAAGTTTTACGATCCTGTCCGTCAAATTTGACAGGCAGCGAAAAAGTCTAGCGCAACCTCTGATCCAGACTACCAGAAATCTATTTTTTTTTTGTGGGGGAGAACCCTCACCCATTTAAAATGTCCCCCCCACATTCAGGATGCTTCCTACGCCCATGATCAGAACTCTTTAGTTCTGATGAACTAAAGAGCAGATCGCCTTAACACGAGTCCCCGAAGGAGGATTAGGCAAATGAAGCCGCTGACGTCACTTCTTCTTCTGCTTTGGGTTTACTGGCAGGCTACAAACAACTTCACGGCCACCCGAAGTCCCCGGCCGGAAGTCCCTTCCGAGTAAGGGTCCTTCTCACTTCGGTTAAATGGATTCCTTGCGTCCCTCACTTGCGTCGTTTCCCTGCGTCTAGTCCCTCCCACCAGGGAAGCATGGAGGGATGCAAGGAAACCACGAGAAGCAGGGAAATTAGTTTTAAGAGCAATGGGACGTCCTTTCCTCCGGAGCGTCACGTGAAGCGACGTCCGTTTGTGATGACGCTGCACAGCTGATCGTCTGACAGCAGCTCTGTTCCCGTTATTTTCACAAACACCCCCGCCTCTGTTAGTACACATTTACTGACACAAACATTTGTATCATCTGTTGTTACGGAAGAGGATTAGGGCCACATAAAACATTTTTTTGTGAGGATTTGAAAAAAATATTATTATTTTTTGTTCTGAGAAAAAAGTCAGAATTCTGACTTTAATCTCAGAATTCTGACTTTTTTCTCAGAACAAAAAAACATTTTTGTTTTGGGAGAAAAAAAGTCAGAATTCTGACTTTAATCTCAGAATTCTGACTTTTTTCTCAGAACAAAAAAACATTTTTGTTTTGGGAGAAAAAAAGGCAGAATTCTGACTTTAATCTCAGAATTCTGACTTTTTTCTCAGAAATACCGGTAACTGTAGAACCAGCTTCACTGCGATTTACACATTGCAGTAGGCAACAATGGAGGACGTGAGTGAATTTCTGCGCGCCAGAGGGGTCCAAGAGGAAACCATAATAAGTCATTTTACAACCATCTGCAATGTGTAAATCGCAGTGAAGCTGGTTCTACAGTTACCGGTATTTCTGACTTTGTTCTCCCAAATAAAATGTTTTTTTTTTTGTTCTGAGAAAAAAGTCAGAATTCTGAGATTAAAGTCAGAATTCTGAGATTAAAGTCAGAATTCTGACTTTTTTTCTCCCAAAAAAAAAATGTTTTTTTGTTCTGAGAAAAAAGTCAGAATTCTGAGATTAAAGTCAGAATTCTGACTTTTTTCTCAGAACAAAATGTTTTATTTTTTTTTTCAAATCCTCACACATTTTTTTTTTATGTGGCCCTAATCCTCTTCCGTAGTTGTAGACCCAAATAAATAAAATAAAATAAGAACTCATTCTCAAAAAAGATAAACGCCATTCTTAAAATGTATAAAAGAACAATAGTTTGGTTAATATTGATTAGAGTGCACAATAGAAATAAAATAATTGAGAGAAGAAAAAGAGATATGTTATCTATCAAAACCCAGTTAGATTAACATTCATTGGATTGCACACTTTGTTTGTTTGTGTGGATATGTAGCAAATTAACATTTTAATAGCACTTAATGACTGATTGAATGGAAATGACAATAAATGAAAATGTAAAACGAAAAAAGTGATCATGAAAATGTTTCCAAAAAATGAATAAAATGATTTTTGACCACTTTGTTGTTCAGATATATCACATATTTGTAACTAAATGATACATGAATTGAAACAAAACACGGTATAAACTGAGGAGTGACTCCCGTGAGGTTCATGTATTTTTTTCACTCTGCTCTCATGTCAAGTAGAATCAGATCAGTGCATGCACTGCCTCGTCCAATCAGTGAGCGATACACAGTAAGGGGCTGGGCGAGTGTCTGAGGATTTCATCGGAGGATGGTCTGATGGTTCCTTGGTTATCGCTCCTCCATTATCGATCCTCGGTCCTCCGGCAAAAATAAGGCCATTGGGACGCTACTCAAGATGGCGCAGACAAATCGACTTCCGGTGAGACCGAGACCGAGGAGCGAGGAAATGAAAAATAAGAGAAGTGAGAAGGGCCCCCAATCGCCAGAACGCCGACACCTCGGCCCTGTCTCAGGTCGACTATTTTCATTTCCTCGCTCCTCGGTCCTCGGTCTCACCGGAAGTTGATTTGTCTGGGCCATCTTGAGTACCGTCCCATGGCTCTTATTTCTGCCGGAGGACCGAGGATCGAGGAGCGATAATGGAGAAGCGATAACCGAGGAACCATCAGACCATCCTCCGATAAAATCCTCAGATACTCGCCCCGCCCCCTTACTGTGTATCGCTCACTGATTGGACGATGCAGTGCATGCACTGATCTGATGCTTCTTGACATGAGAGCAGTTTCCCAGCGGAGTGAAGAAAATACATGAACGTCACGGGAGTCACTCCTCAGTTTATACTGTGTTTTGTTTCAATGAATGTTAATCTAACTGGGTTTTGATAGATAACATATCTCTTTTTCTTCTCTCAATTATTTTATTTCTATTCTGCACTCTATTAATCAAACTATTGTTCGTTTATACATTTTAAGAATGGCGTTTATCTTTTTTGAGAATGAGTTCTTATTTTATTTAATGTATTTGGGTCTACAACAGATGATACAAATGTTTGTTTTCAGTAAAAGTGTACTAACAGAGGCGGGGGTGTTTTGAAAACAACGGGGACAGAGCTGCTGTCAGACGATCAGCTGTGCGGCGTCATCACAAACGGACGTCGCTTCACGTGACGCTCCGGAGGAAAGGACGTCCCATTGCTCTTAAAACTAATTTCTCTGCTTCTCGTGGTTTCCTTGCGTCCCTCCGTGCTTCCCTGGAGGGAGGGACTAGAGGCAGGGAAACGACGCAAGTGAGGGAAGCAAGGATTTTATTTAACCGACCTGAGCCCTCCTCATCACTCCACCGCTCCCATGTTTTTTTGTTTGTTGCCATAAGTTAGTCTCTCTCCGTTGGTGCGCTGGGCTAATGCTAATAATGCTAATGCCAGCAAATACAATGGCGGCTTCACAAAACTTTTCCGAGTTTTACGGGGCGTGGTTTGCAATTCGCCCAGCCAATCAGAAATGGGAACCTTTTTCTCCCATGAAAGTCCCCACTCTCTATCAGGGACTAAAAAGGGGGTGAAAAGGTTCTCATGAACTAAGTTCTAGTTCCGGATTTTTTTGGTGTGAAAGCAAAATTTCAAGAACTATCGGAACTATACTGGGAAAAGTACTCTGGTGTGAAAGTGCCTAATATTAAAGTAAAACAACTCATCCTATTTCCCATCTGATCTTATTCCTAAATTATTCAAAGTATGAGCGAGTAGCTATTAATTGTTCCCACGAAAAACATATGCAGCAAAAATGGACAGCATTTGGCGCTTTCACACCAAGTACTTTTCTCAGGAATAGTTCCCGGAACTTTTCCCCGGAACTTTTATTTCCCCGGAATTATCTAGTAAATCGCGTTCACACCGGAATAAGTCCCTGAGGGAGGATAACGCAAATGAAGCCGCTGACGTCACTTCTTCTGATTTGGGTTTACTGGCAGGCCGCAAACAACTTAACGGCGTATACTGCCACCAAAAAAAGGTTCCCGCAGAAAGCCAGAATCTGGAGTTATAAGCATAACAATTATTTATTTAAATATGAGTGAAAATTAAATTAGTCTCAGAGAGACACTCCCAATGACAGGGTCCATAATAGGGGCAGTCAGAATATCAGCATGGGGGGCACAAGTCATAGAAAAGCAGAAGGGAAATGGCATTTTGATCCATTGTTAATCCATGTGTTGACAGCGTACGTGCATGGGAATGCTAATACATAAATGAATATATTCCTTGTTGAAGCATGTCTCTAAAGAGTTAATCTTAAGTTACAGACTGGTCTGTTGTAAAGCAAACTTTAACATAGATACCTTCTGACAAAATGCGTATATTTTTTTACTTTTACTAAATTTGATTTAGAAAAAGCCTGCTGTTGCGAATGGAGCGTTGACCAAATTAATGTGCATGTCTTATTTGCCTGCATGTGGTGTAGAGCTCACCTGTATGTATGTAAAGCACATTTAAAGCAGCTGCAGAACATCAACACAGGTTTTGAGAAAGTTGTTGATGAAAAGATTGTCTGATGAGGGTGTCAGAAAATAGATCAAGAGCAGTTTGCTTAATAACATGGGATTTTAAGTACATTTTCTGTACAATAAACATGCCATTGAAAGACTTCAGATTGTTCTACGGCCTAATTTATAAGATGTTGACAGGTAAACAAATAACCATAAGTCTTTGTGGGAGGTAAGCGTTGGGACATTTTGAAAAAACAGTAACAACAACAGTACATGTGAAAAGTTCCACATGAAAATACTTTAGGGTGCCACTTTTTAAGAAAAGAAAGCCATTTTCGACACAGTACTAGAAGTCACAGCTCCAAGGGGGAAAGATGCCGTCTTTGGTATAAGAGCAAACCGGAAAAAACATTGATGCAGATTGAGGAAAAAAACTTCCAACATCTTTCACACCTACTGTCTTGAATGCAATATCCTTTTCCATGTGTTTGACTTGCATTAACATTTAAAGGACAACAAAAAAATGGTGATTTCTTTAGTTTTTTAAAGCCCACTATTTAGCTCCAGACCTGCATCTCTGAACTAAATATGGAAACAAAATGAGAACATGCTACAGAAAACAAATTTATTCTGGCATGGACACCTCACGCCATGTAACACAAAGATGGAAACCCAGACACGCAATAAATTATCTTCATTATTAAGCGTAACCAGTGACATACTGTACATTAAAAAGGTAAAAGCACTGTAAATAAAAAAGGAGAGGACATCTACAAAAAAGGTTGTAAGTGAAACAAAACCCTTATACAGCAATGCTTAAAAAAAACAAAGTTGAAATGCCAGCAGACACAGATAGAAATTAATATCTTAAGTGTGATTCCTTCTTGATTTTAGTGTCTCACGACATAATTTAAGTACTGCTCAAAACAAATAACAAATAAACACTGTACACACACCAAAGAAAGCGAACCAGAGGATATTTTTTTCATTTTGTTGATTTCATTTTTTAGGAAATCATTGCTTTGCAATTTATGCTTCATCACAGTTCTCTCCCATATGACCACATGAATGTAAACACCTGTTGAATTATTCTTTTTTTAATGTTTACATTAATACTTTATATACATATTTGTACATATTTTCATTCACATCTGCACGGTTAGCTAGCATGGTAATGAAATAAGGCAAGACTCACATAACTGTGACATCACAATTTTTTCCCCATTATAATACTGATTATTAAGGTTTTTGTAATTTCCTCCTGTTTTGCAGCAGGCTTTGGTCTTTCCGGAGAAAGGCAGGGTCGATCCTTCTCCGTCTCAAGAATCACACTTTGTTTTGTTCCAGTTGTAATGAAATACTCAAAAGAGAGGGTGTTTTTTGCAGGAAAAAGGGGCTATAAATACACTTTTTTCAGCTTACATCACTAATTGAATTAATTTAACACTGGTCTTTCTGAGGTACATAGTTTAAGATGATTCAGGGAGGTGGAATAAGAAACAGGTACGACAATATGACCATGAGGAGCAAATGACTTCCATTACAAGAGAAAGAAAACTCATATTTTTTCTTCTTATTGGCCTATCTATCATTTTGTTCAATAAAGACTGTTTCTTTTTTAGACTTTTTTTTTTCTTTCAGTTCTTCCCTCTCAGTCAGATCAAGCTGCCATGGCAGGCATCTTTTGTGAGTTTGAAAAACAGATGTGAGAGTAAGTTAGAGTCTTTGGCCTGGTTGACTGGCTGTCCGTTCGTCTTTACAGTACCAACAGCTAAAAGCTGGTTTCAGTGAGAGAGCATCCGGAGGATCATCGACCAAAAAAGCCACCGCTCTAGTCACAAAGCTGTCCGTCTGAAGATGGGTGGTGTTTCTCAGGTTCCTGTCGTAGCACCAGTGCCAAAACATTTAAGGGTTGTTCATTCTTAAGTTTCAACCTGCCAGTTTTGATATTGTGTGCTCGTGCAGACAAAAGGATCCCATCTTGAGCCATGTTTGTTTCAAGTGTTTTTCTCTTCTTACTTTTAATATTGTCTTTGTAGTTGAGGAGAAGAGGCTCTTCTTTCAGACTTTTTTTAATAGAATAAATGGATCCATATACTGTTAGTGTGTACACATTATTTGTCTCTGTGAATAAGTGTTTGTCCAGATCTGTACTCCAAGTTGTAACTTGATAATCTAAATGAGCTTTATATAAACAAGAGTTGCTATGAGTCTCTGCTCTCCATCCTCCAGGTCATCACAACTTTGAGATGGAGTTTCAGTTATTTGGAGTTTGTGTGCAGCAGCAGAACTCAAGATGTTTGCACAGCTGCATTATGGGTAGTGCAGTCCTCTCCTAAGCTCTCTTGGCATGAAGCATTTCAATGAGCAGGTTGTTGCAGGGCACGTCCCCGTTCAGGTGTTTGTAGTAAAGGTATTCTTCGGCCTGCAGGCTGATGGCTCGGATCTCTGGCAGCCGGAGGAGCAGCTGGCCAAACTTGTCTGTTTGTTGCGGATAGTTACACATGACGTAGTCCAGCAGCGCTGCGTTGACCTGCTCCTGGACACTCTCCACGAGGTGAAAGTTCTCCAGGTTCTTGACATCTATCAAAAGAACGAGAAAATGGTTCGATTGGATGACACTTAATCAATCTGTGGGTGCTGTTTGATTATAAGAAGAAAGCAATAACACATAATAATGAAGCCTTAACATAATGGCAAATAATTACAAATTCCAAAAGTGTCACAGCAGCTGAATGAATTGAAGGCATAATGTGCCCACAGTACAGTACTATCAGTATGGTTAGAGTATGAGCACATCTAGTCCTACAGTATATTAAGGCCAAGTGTTCCTGCTCACTTTTAATGTCTCAAATTATCTCAGATTTTTTTATGGCAGGATCTATAACTCAAATGTTACCACCGTATCCTCAAGGAAACAAATGAATGATCCATGATGCGCTATAAATATGATGTATTATTATTATCATGGTTCATATTTAAAAGACAAAAAGGTTCCAATCTTTGTCACTTCACTAATTTTTTGTATAACTCTAAAGAGGACTTTATCATGCACTGCATGACGAAGTCCCCCTTCTCTTTTATTATTCTCTGAATCGTCTCTTGAGACGACGATGTAGAGGGAACCAGGTAAAGGCAAACCTCATCCCGAGAGATTCATTCCCTAGGAGTCAATGAATTATGTAGGGCACAGTTACAGTCATATTAGCACCAGAGCTGCTCCTTAACCTAACGCCTTAACCATCCTTTTATATCATAACAAAACAGAATGCGTTTTAATTATTTGTGGAAAAATAATAAGCATTGATCTTAAAAACAGTAATCACTTAAACTGCAGGTTACATTTAGAGCCCATAAACTCATATTGGTGGGAAGTCCTTTTTTCACTATTAATTCCACGTGCAAAATACATTTTGCATCTTTCCAAAATCCTACCCTTACGCGTAGCTATAAACACTTTTCCTTGACAATAATAAGCTCACTTGGGGTTTGAGCAGATTATTGCAAGACAAGAGCAAAATGTGCTAAATGGATAATGGTGGGCCTGAGCGCTGTGTGTACTTGTCATGATTATGAAGTGCAGGGCGGCAGAATATCTAATCAGATAGCAGCTCAGTTTGAGTGTGTGTGTGTGATCTTTTATTAATCTGCTTGACCCCAGGTTGAGTGTGCTCACAGTGAGCTAATGTAGAAAGACAGAGTCTGTGTGTTTAGTTGACACCTCTGGACCAACACACCAACTGCCGCACACTAAAATACACCATCTTTCACGCCAAATCTCTGCCTTTCTCTCACAGAAGCTCAAACACTAATCCATTGAAATACACATACTATTTCTCACACAGTACCCCCTTCCCACACTCACACATACCCCATCCACCCACCTAGAGCATTAGGAGGGAGGAGGGGGAGATAAATCAGCAGCTAATGAGGTCTAGAGAATGAGAAGCAGATCCTTCAAGGCACTTCCATCTATGATGCACTCTTCCATGCTATTACAATCTGTATGTGTGTGTGTCTGTGCGTGCTTGTGTTGCCTGTGTATGTGTGAGGTGGTGTGTAGCGTGTGCATGCTCACCCTGACCTCTGGGTGACACGGCAGGGGGGCTAAATAAGGCCAAGAGGAGGGCAGGAAAGGGGGGAGGGGGCACGGCTTGTGACAAAAGAGGCACCAAACAAACATGACATGTGCTTTTCCTGCTGCTAGTCAGCTGTCTGACCCCCTATCAGACTCCTGAACCGGCTTTCAAACCAACGACACCTCCGAGAAGCATCGATATAGCCTTACATAAGCTAACCACTGTGGGCTTTAGGCTTTGACACCAAGACAGCCTACGCAGGTCAACAAGAAAAACAACAGACTTGTTTTTATCAAAGCAAAGCAATGGAATAAAAAGGAGTTGCTGAGAATCTTTTTTTTTTTTACATCGTGATAGTTGGTGAGTCCACAACCATCAGCTGCACTTCCTCGCACCTCCAATTTTTCAATTTGTTATATTTTATTCATTACACTATCTAGTGAGCTATATTTCCTGTCAATTGTATTTTCTAAATGCCGTTTCAGTGCTTTCTCCACACTACACAGAATAACATTCTGGTCGGGAAAAACTCAAAGTCTCTCTAAAAGTCAATTTAGTCTAAACTGAAATCAATAGAACATACTCCAATATGTGTACCTTTTTGATTTTTGCAAGGTTGTTTTAACCCAAAATACAAAAAAAATTACAAAAGACAACTCCACAGTTAGGCTCAAGCCAGATGCTGACTAATATAGGACTTAATGAAATACCATATATGTTGGTTGGCAGAATACATGTTGCCACATTAAAAGGATGAAATTCAGAACGAACATGTCATGCTGCTAAAGAATCTATTATGTCGTGTTAACCTCTTCTGAGTTTGATTTAGTTAATTCTGCACTAACATGACAAGGTGAGCCCAGAGCAAAAACATTGGGAGGTGTTGCCATGGTTCCTCTGATTTTATTTCTGTGTTTGTGTGTCTGCATGAGTGTTTAGGCATGTGGAGGGTAGTTTGTTGGGTCTATGGGCGGATATTGGGGGGAAGGACTAGAGAGAATTAGTACCCATGTCTCTGTCAAGCTAATTAGGGGAAAGTGTGGCAAAAAGACAGCATTTTAATTGCTAATTATTGCCAGAGCCCCTTTTGAAAAAATAATGAACAAGGGACTCCAAAAAAGGAAGTGAAAAAGCACAAATAACAATAGTTTGATATGTGCTCCTGTTTGTAAAAACTGAAAAATATCAGGTTGATGAGAAATCTTTTTTTAATGTTGCTGCTAATCAGAAAACAATTACCTATGATTCAAAGCCAGGAGAAGGATTGTTAAGTAGGGGTAAGGGGTTAGGGGGAACTTAAAATAAACAATTGATCAATGATTCCCAGTGTCAGGTCGGAGCATTAAGTGTGTTAAGCGCTCCCTCCTCTTCCTCCAATGCCCCCCCCTTTCATTATTTCTCTCTCCATCTCATTGTTTAGTCACTATGGGACTAATTATCAACTTTTGTTTCACATAAAACAGCCACAGTTCGTTGCTGCACCGCATCTGAATACTTAAATGGACACCCTGAGGTCCCGTGGAATACATTGTTCCATTTGACGGCCGATCATGCTGAAGCCAGCGACCTAATGCAAAAGTATGCGCACACACACACACACACACAGACACACACACACACACACACACACAGACACACACACACACACACACACACACACACACACACACACACACACACACACACACACACACACACACACCACACTCAGTCTCTCTATAACAGAGCCCCTGAAATCACTGCTGTGCTTTTTAATTAGACTAGATTTGCTATGTGCTGTGGGTGTGTGTGTGTGTGTCCGCATGTGCTTTCACCGCCCCTTTCAATCCACTTGCTCCAGGGACACACAGATGCACCCACACACACACACACACACACACACACACACACACACACACACACACACACACACACACACACACACATACACACACACACACACACACACACACACACACACACACACATACACACACACACACACCATTTAGACACGCTGCAAATTCACTCAAGCAAATATTCGCTCCATTGCCTCTTTCTCATATCAATGATGCTTAACAGGCAGCACACTAGTAACCTTTGATCAGAAACATGGCTTTTTGTCAGAGTTTACCATTCTGTGCAAAAGCAAGCAGGCCTTACTTGGATTGTGGCTTTTAGAAGCTAAAGTGGTAGAGGTAGAGAAATACTGCAATATACAGTAAGTCCGCCTGTTAATAGATCCTAGCTGGGTAACACCTGACCCTTCTATACATCATGATATAAGCCAAAATGTTTAAAACAGAAGCATAAAATACGGAAGAGGCTAAGAGTTAAGCTTTATTTGTTAAATTTCAATCGCCTCAAAAAACTTTGGTGAAGACCAAAATGTGTTCAGTCAGGGTGTTTTGGTCCCTAACCCCCTCTTCATAATAAGACACTTCTATAAGGTCAACAGTTAGACATGGCAAAATAACACCAAGGCCTCTCACAGTACAATCTTAGTGCCCCAATCAATAAACCTCTCAGTCACATGCTGTCAAGTCATCGTGCCTTTCAAACTTCACAACATGTGTTTCCTGCCTGCCCCAAAAACAATACATAAAACTCTTGGTTCATAAATGGTTATTAAGTCAAGTGCTGTCAGTAAACTTTACCAATTAAACGTGAGTGGAAGACAAACCGCTCACTTCCTGTATAGGCGGGAATTAGAGGCTCCTGGTCTACCAATAGGGACCTTCACAGGCGTTTACACAAGCCTATCAAAGTTGAAGCACATTTTACTACTGCAGCGGTACTTCAAAGAGCGAGGCATTGAACCCATGTCCCGGCCAAGTCCTCTTTATTGCCCCCTTCTTGATGTTATCAAGTCAACATTGTCAACTGCTACTTTATTTATTATTAATCTGTTTTGAAGCTCGGCTCCAATCAGAGACAGGGGCGTTGAAAGAAGAGAACCCAATAACCTTTGAATCTGGGTGGGTTGTTGGGACAAAGTGAGGACTAAGGACTGCCCACAATAAGCAACATGTGGAATGATGTGTGCACTGGGAGAATGAGGCTGTGTGTTTGTATATGAGTGTGGTGTTAAAAAACAGTCTGCAAGGGTTATCAAAGCAAACAAGGTTCACAGGGCAAGGGGCAATGGTCGCCTGGTTAACAGTATCACTATAGGCTATTATCTGAGTTTCGGTGCACCGCTGGGCTTTGTTTTTGTTTGGAGAAAATGAACCTCCTTACTACCTATTTTACCCTCACACCACAAGCCATAACATACATAAACACACACATGCTCTCCCATCAATACTCCATTGACAGCATTTCACCAGGAAGTGTGTTTCCTGTACAGCTTCCTTCATCTATCTATGTATGCCAGCAAACAAGTTTCCCTTCTCCCCGGAGCTCTCAGCTTCCTTGTTTTTATCCAAGTCCCATTTGGGGAATTCCCTTTCTCAGATACGACGTTTCCACATTTGAGGCGAGTGAAAACACAGCATGGTAAACTAGACTTATGTGCTCCTTAAC